CCTAGGTACTGCAAGGGCCACAAAGAAATGGGACAACCTAGACATTCCGCCACAAACTCAATAGCCCTCTCATCCATATTAACACACCCACCACACAACTCTTGTCCAAGTTTATTTTCAAATTGGAAACACTCTCAAAGTGCTTTAGCAGAGTTTTGAGATTCCTCACTTTTCACCTATCACCCCCTTCACAGAAAGTTATAATGTCATCAGCAAATTGCAGGTGGGTCACTTGGACATTGTTCCTTCCTACAACTAAGGTAAGAGGGGGTCACCTTGCCTAAGGCCTCTACATGCTGGGGAAAAAAATCCTTGACCACCCCATTAATCAAGACTGAGTAGTGGCAGGAACTAATACACCCTTTACCCAATTGCACCATCTATCTCCAAACCCATAACACCCAAGGACCTCTAGTAGAAAACTCTATAGGTCTTTTCTAAATCTAGCTTACAAGCAAAACCTTGATTGCCCGACTTTCTCATGTCCTCCACACACTTATTTGCTATTAGGATTTGATCTGTTATTTGCCTTCCTTGCATGAAGGTTCCTTGAGCTTGACTAATGATGGAGGGCAACACTACTCTAATCTTCAAAGATAACACTTCAGCCAGATTTTGTAGATGCTAGTCACCAAGCTAATCGGCCTGAAATCCTAGGTGATGGGTTATTTTGGCAGATGTATTAATTATTAAAACTTTTAGGTACATGCATGAGTTTAGATTGGTTCCCAAACTGTAAAGGAAGTGAGGTCTTCCAAAGTTTGGCAGGATTACATTGTTTCTACTTTCTACTTCATACCTTAACCTCCTAGCAAATGAATCTTATTGCTTTTGTAAACAAAAAAGATCACCATATCTAGGAATTCTATCATATGATTGTTTTAGATCAATGAGTACTATATGAAGATCTCTCGTCTTCTCCTTGAACTTTTCTATAAATCATCTCAATAAAATTGTATACCATATACAATTTTAAAATTTACAATATATTTTAATACTTTATTGATTCCAATGGCATTTAGGGCAAATAATCCAATGCCCTTATGCAAATCTAAATATTTTAAAATTACATCAATAGCTGCTTCAACTGGATACCTATATCAGTTAATGCCTTGATTTTTTTACCTAGAGGAGGGGTTAACAGATCTCAACTCTTATGTGGCACTTCAGGTCCAGGGTCAGAGTTTCAAAACTAGAAACCATGTAGTTTTGCTTTTTCTGCATTGTCAGTTGATGTTCTTTGTATTTTCTGCTCCCTGCTATATTTGGTAGGGATTTAATTGTTGTCTTAATCTTTTTTTTTTGGATCAATAACAACATTTCATTACTTAATCACAAAAGTAATTACAGAGAGGAAGATAAACTTTCTTATCTTCCAATTGGAGCTTAACACTCCCAAGAACAAAAAGGAAAAAATTACACTTGTGCCCAAAACATTGACTACCTCTTGACTCCTTGCATAGATAACCTATCCGCAAAAGAGTTAGCTAATCTTTTCACCCAGTTAATCTTAACTTCCATCTTTTGTACCACCACCTCTGAATCTCCTTCAATGATGAGTTTTCTTATATTCATTTCCTTGGCTCTTTGAACTCCTTCCATAACTGCAAAGATTTCAGCCCTGAGAAAGTCACCCACTCCAATTGGGCTGGAGAACATGGCTGAGACAAGCCCATTCTCATCCCTTAGCACACCTCCAATCCCCATTTGTCCAGGATTCCCTCAACTACTCCCATCAAAGTTTAGTTTTAAGAAGCCAGCTGGTGGGGGAGTCCAGGACACACACAAGATTGCTTTGGTCTGGGTGCAATTAGCAATCTCACCCCACTTCCTCAACAAATCAACCATTGTGAAATCTGTAAACAGTTCTGAAGATTTCAGCCACTGTACTACCCTTATATGGATCAATTCTCTCAGTTCTTCATTATTTTTTTCTACTTCAGAAAAGATTCTGGAATTCCTTTCCTCCCATAGGGCCCAACAAACTGCAGCCCTCAAACATCTCCACATGGTCCTTCCCCTTTTCCTTTGGCACCTGAAGAAAGAAGGGGAAAAAAGGCTTTGCAAATTTGATGGAGGATTCCAACTACACCCAAAAAGGGATAGTGCCCACCCCCAAATAGACTTAGCAAACTGGCAAGTCACCAATAGGTGAAAATCAGTCTCCCCCTCCGCTTTACAAAGAACACACCAATAAGGGGATAAACATGTCTTGGGTCTTTTCTTTTGGAGCAGATCACCAGTGTTGATTCTTTCTAGAAAAGCTTCCCAACAAAAACTACCAACTCTAGGGGGAATTGGTCTGCACCAAACCTCCTTAACCAGGAAGGGAGGGCCAACAGGACTAGGGGGCTGACTTAAGACTTTGAAAAAAGAGGCACAAGAAAATGAGCCAGTGGGGGTGGGGGTCCAAATTCTAGAATCCAACTTAGTAAGGTCCAAGAAAACATTATCAAGGATACCTAGGAGGTTCGAGATACAGTCAAAGTCTGTATCTCTCACAGCCCTTCTCAAACCCAAATTCCAGCCAAACCCAGAAGATGAAGGTGAAGGGGTAATAAAGGAAGAAACTGGCTCATTTTTTAATTCGGAGAGGGCATACACAGAAGGAAACAAATCCTTAAGAGGGGCATTCCCCACCCAAGTTTGTTCCCAGAATTTTATGGAATTACCTGAGTTCAGATCATACCTGATGAGAGGGGTGAAAGATGGAAGCAATTCGTGAATGGCTTTCCACGGTGACGTATGTGGTCCTAGCTCGGATCCCAACATCCCATCCATTTTGCTCCATCCCGTGTATGCTTACCACTATTCTAGCCCATAGTCTCTTCTTTTTTATTGGGAGCCTCCATAACCATTTCCCCAAAAGAGCCATATTCCTATTCCTGATGTTGCCAAGCCCCAAGCCACCAAGGTTTTTACTTCTGGTCACCACCTCCCAACTCACCCTATGGTCCCTTTATCCTCTCCTGGCTCCCATAGGAAATCTCTCATCATCTTCTCCAATCTGTTAGATACCTTTGCAGGAATTTTGAACACTGAGAGGAAGTAAATGGGCAAATTAGTTAGAGTAGCCTTAATTAGTGTAATCCTCTCGCCAAGGGAAAGATAATTCTTCTTCCAAGAGGCAAGTCTCTTTTCGAATCTTTCCACCATCGGATTCCAAAAACTCTCCTTCTTTGGGTTATCACCCAAAGGCATCCCTAGGCAATTCAATGGGCAGCCTGAGACTTCACAACCCAATATTTTTGTACTTTCCCTGATCTCACCCTCCTCCAAATTCACACCCACAACACAACTTTTCTCAAAATTCACCTTTAGGTTGGACATTTGTTCAAAAAGTTGTATTGCCAACTTCAAATTCCTAATATAACTCAAGTCCCCACCTTCACAAAATAGAATTGTATCATCTGCAAACTGTAAGTGGGTAAGGGGACTATCCTCCCTCCCTAGTCTCCATCCTCTAACAAGACCCCTAGAATCTGCTCTATGAATCAACCTCCCCAGAACATCAACAACCATAGTGAATAGGAAAGGAGAAAGGGGGTCACCCTGTCTTATTCCCCTAACAGCTGGAAAAAACCCACCACTATCCCATTCACTAGCACAGAATAATGACAGTTCCGAACACACCCCAAGATCCATTTACACCATCTAGTCCCAAAGCCAAAATTGGACATAACTTTCATTAAGAATGACCACTCCACCAAGTCATAAGCCTTTTCCAAATCCAGCTTACAGACCACTCCCTTCTTCCTGTTCTTCCTGAAGTTCTCCACGCTTTCATTGGCAATCAAGATTTGATCAGTAATCTGTCTCCCACTCACAAAAGCTTCTTGATTTGGAGATATTATTGTTGGCAATACTTCCTTCAACCTCAGAGACAAAACCTTTGCAATGATCTTATACAAGCTGTTTATCAGACTGATTGGCCTAAGGTCCTTAGGGTGGGAAGCATCTTTTTTCTTAGGGACCAATGCTAGAAAAGTGGAATTCATACCCGAGTTGACCACACATCAAACACTAGCAGAAGGTCACCTTTCACGATATCCCAACAATCTTCATAGAAGGCCATTGCAAAACCATCTGGGCCTAGAGCTTTTGTTCTGTCCATAGAAAACACAGCCTCCTTAATCTCCTCCAGCTCAAACCTTCTTTCCAACCTCTGCCTATTATCCTCCCCTACATTTGGCCAATCCAAATCTTCAAGCCACATACCCTTCTTGAGTGGCCTTCTTAATATGGACTTAAAGTGTTCAACAAATGCCCCTGCTATTTCATCCTTTTGTGTTAGGGCAACATTATCTGCTTCCAGTCTCGAGATTTTTGCCTCCAATTTATTTCCTCATGGGTGAAGTTGAGGAGTTGGTGTAGTGGTTTGGGGTGCTGGAAGCATCTTCTCTCGGGTGACTTCTGATTATCTTTCTTTTATCTTCTTTTTCTCTGTTAATAATTTATTTTTGAGAAAAAATGGTAATAAATTGTATTTTATTACCAAAAAAATGGTAGTGATTTATTCTTTCCCTTCAATAAAATCTCTTTCGTCATCTTGATGATAAGAAAACAGTAAAAGTCCTAAAACATACATGTTGATAGTGGCTGCTTATCCTAAATGGAACTTTCTTGTTTACTTTTCCACTTATTTTAAAGCTTCCTTATGATGATAACTAGGTCAACCATGTAACTTTTACTGCAAGGATGAAGTAATACAATGTGGTTTTTGAACTTAACAGCTTTAAGTAGTTTAAGGTGTTATAGGAGGATACCCTTCCCTCCAAGCTGTAAACTATGAAAAGCGAACTCATCCAACACCCCACCCCAACCATGTAACTTTTTTCTTTCTTGTCCTTTTGTCCCTGTTTTCTACATGTTTACTTAGTATGTGTTTACTGAGCTTATCAATGTTCATTTAGGAAATATAATGTGTGTCTTGATTGGTTCTGTCATTTTATTTATTTCTTGACTAGATAGCAACTGATTCTCATGCTTATTGATTTCAGTTTCTTACAAAAAATGGAATATATGACTTCTGGAACTGGTTTGATGATCGGACCTGGTAATTACTGTTTATGATGATGGAAGTTTTTACTTGTTCATTTTATCATTGTAGCTAAAATGTTGAAAATGACTTCATGTTAAGGTACCCTCTTGGTCGTGTGATTGGTGGAACTGTTTACCCTGGACTGACATTGACAGCAGGTTCCCTATGGTGGTAGGTATTCATGGTTTATTGCCATATTGTTTCTTTTCTTTTCTTTTTTGTTTTTAAGTGAAAGTGTATCCTTGTAGTGAAAGAGGGAGAGGAATCCTCAAAATAAGACTTTACAAAAAGATGGGCTACATTTCTTTTTCTTTTTAAGTGAAAGTGTATCCTTGTATTGAAAGAGGGAGAGGAACCCACAAAATAAGACTTTACAAAAAGATGGGCTACAAACACTGCCCATGGATTTTTTCTATTATGTACGTCATGCATTTTTGAAGGCTCAGAATCATTATCGGCCATAATTCTATGCTTTTGGCTATAAAAGTGAATCTAAAATTTCAGAAGTCCTCATGGGCCCTTGACCAGAATATTAATTGTCTCTCCATATGATGAATCATCATTTCCTTGGTAGGGCTTTTCCTTCTGATTGTTGTTTCTTCATTGCCATGGTTCCCAGCAAATGGCAGAAGGAAGCATCTTCCATAGAATTACCATATTGTTTCATAGGAAATAACCTTGTTTTGGCCTTTGGTACCAGATATATTGTGATCTTGTTCTCACATGGATTGCTAGATTATAAAATTGTTACAGTTAGTATTCATGAATACCAATATTCAGGATAGCTAATGTGGAGTTTTGGATGGTTACTTTCTGACAACAGGTTATTGAATTCATTGAACATTCCTCTATCAGTAGAAACAGTTTGTGTTTTTACTGCTCCTATTTTCTCAGCTAATGCTGCTTGGGCAACTTACCTTCTAACAAAGGTTTAGTTTTTGTTAAATTCTATTCTTTTCTTCTTCCTTGATTATGTAAGATATTAAACACCAATACTTTCTGTCTACATATTTAACAGGAAGTGAGAGGTACTGGTGCTGGATTGACAGCAGCAGCTCTTTTGGCTATGGTAATTTCTACTATCTCGTTTGAATTTATTATTATAATATTTTTGGGGAAGGATAAGATTCATTGATTTTTTTGGGGTGTAAAATGGTGAAATGAAAAACAAGCTGGCATTAGATGTATTATCCCATAGGCAACCAGAAATTTTTGGGCTGGACCTGGGCCTAGTACCTTAGGCCGGGTTCACAAACACATATTCAATATACATATGTACATATAATATTTGTACTACATAATATTTTAAATCTGATCATGAGTTAAGACATTTAAAGAAGTACAGTTTGAAAAATGTCTTTTCATCTTTAGAAAATGGTGATTGTTCAAATATTTGAATTTTTAAATCTAATATTTTAATTTGAGTTGAGACATTTAAAAAAAGTATAATAAAAAATCTAATTGTCTTTTCATATTTTTATTTTTACAATATATTTAAAATCATAGGCTCGAGACCAGGCTCAGCCCAACCCGGGCCTAGGGTCTCCATGATCACCCCTAGTCCGTGTCATATCTGTAACTCATCATAGGTTAAAATACACTAATTTATATATTTGAAAATTTTAATGTTATGATTCATACTCTAAGCTTTCATGCAGTGTCATATCCATTATCCAGTACATAATACATATCATATCTGACACTTGTACACAAGGCATGTACACATCCAGGCATCATGGATCACTGTCACCCTACATTCCTGAGAAAGTCCCTTTGGGTTCAAATCTTTTTGCAACCATGTGGATGCTGTTCAAAGCACTTCTCATTATAGAGTATAGTGGTCGAAAGATGAGAAGCATTTGTTCCAACCTGCCAATTTGTTGTTTATTCATCAGCTCAGTCACTCAGAGGCTTAGACTTAACCACCTGCACACTACAGGTGAGAAGTAACAGGAACCCTTTTCTTCACCCCAAGGCCTAATAGAAGGCCCATTTTCTCCACTAATGGATCATACAACCAAGAGCCTACACTGATAAATAAAGAGAAAAGCAGGAAAGGATCTTGGTATCTACTTACCAGAACCATCCAACTGGGGCAGTGCTTCTGCCTCAATTTGTGGTGCAAGTGCCTTAGAGCAGAACCACTACCCAACCATGCCCAGAAAACATGGTTTATAACTACATTTTACACTGTGAGAGAATAGGTGCTCCTGTGGGTACCTCTTGTTATTTTCTAGGATATTGTAGATGATAAAAAAAGGATATTAATGATAAATGTGAGAGATGCATGGCATACTTATTGTAAATATATATTCTATAATTCATTATCAATAGATTTTCCAAGCTCTCATGATATGATGATTTCATTATTAATTGAAGTTATTTTTACCAATGATAAAAGGATATTATAAGCTGTTTCCTTATGCATTGTGAGGTTTTGTTCTTCAAATAAAAGCATGCAGTTTAAGTTATAGTGGGTACAAAGATTGGCAGATAGCCTCCATGGCTGACCTCCTCTCATTAGATTTTAACCTAAATCTTGATCTTCATAATGCATTTTGTTTTGTAGGTGCCGTCCTATATATCTAGATCGGTGGCTGGCAGTTATGACAATGAAGCTGTGGCTATATTTGCTTTGATCTTCACATTCTATCTTTATGTCAAGGTAGGAATTGATACTTAATTGTAAGTCTTACATATGTTATTCTTCTTTATTAAAAACAAGTCATAGAAACATTGTTACCAAAATACTGGATAATATTTTTTTATCCTTTTCAATTCATTACTTGCAAGTTTGTGTGAGATAACTCAGACATGAAATGTGGTAACTTTATCCTCAACTGTTACAGTAATGATTGAAATTGTGTGCAGACATTGAACACAGGATCCCTCTTCTATGCAACTTTAAATGCCTTGGCATACTTTTACATGGTAAGATGCTTTCAGCTGAGATTGGCAATTTTCTTTTTTTTTCCTCCTTTTACCTTATTTATGTTTTTTGCTGAGTTATTCAGGTTTGCTCTTGGGGCGGCTATACCTTTATTATTAACCTTATTCCAATGCATGTGCTTCTGTGTATTGTGACTGGTCGCTATTCTTCAAGGCTGTACATTGCCTATGCTCCTCTAGTAAGTATTCACGGTATTCTAGTAGATTGTTTTAGCCTTTATTTTCTTGAAGTTTAAAGTTAAAGTTTAAACAATGCATTTTACACGGTTTGGCTTTGAAATATGTGGTAGTTTAATTGATAAAAAAAGGATGAAGTAGATTTATTTTCAATTAATTACATTGTGTTTGGGGTTAGTAGTTATTGAGCTGTTTTCCAAAAGTTGGGGTTTACTTGCTCATTCATGTTGGGCTTGTTTCCTACCTTTTTTCCTGAACCTTCCCTTGCACTATTTATCACTTGGGATTGTTTCTTGTTAGTGATTAAAAAATGTGTATTTTTAACTTAGCTTTTCTTACACTGCCAGTCCCAAGCCCGGATAAAGGAGGGGGGTTGCATCAGGTTGGCATCCGGGACTAAAACGTTTACCAAACTCTCATGATCGTGGATCCTGATTTGTCTTTTCATGTTAAACAGAACGGAAAAGTGAAACAAGATTCTTGTAGCTGACCCCATATAGTTGGTATAAGGCTTGGATGATGATAATGATGATGATGAAAGGAATTGTTGAAAGGTAATGAAGATAATAAGCTGGAATGTAAGGGGTTTGGGTAGTGCCAGAAAAAGGAGATTGATTAAGGAGTTACTTAGAAGAGAAAGACCTGATATTGTGATGTTGCAGGAGACAAAATTAGCTGAATTGGATAGAAGGTGGGTCAGGGAGATCTGGAAAATAAGAGGGGTAAGATGGTGCTCAGCTCCGTCATGGGGGGCATCTGGGGGAGTAGTAACTTTGTGGAGGGAGGACTTCGGAGAACTAGTAGAGGAGCTAATAGGAAACTTCACTGTATCCCTAAAATTCAGAATGGTGGAAGATGGATTTACTTGGGTGCTAACAAATGTGTATGGTCCAAATAATCACAGAGAGAGGAATGAGATTTGGGAGGAGCTTCATGGGATTCAAGGTTTGTGGGAAGGTCCTTGGTGTTTGGGGGGTGATTTTAATRCAATAAGATTCACAAATGAGTCAAATAATCCTAGGCAGGCCATTACAACTAGTATGAGGAAGTTCAATGACTTCATAAATTCCTGTGAATTACGGGAGCTTCCTCTACTACAGGCTACCTACACTTGGTCCAACTTCCAAGAAAACCCAATCTGCTCAAAACTTGACAGGTTCCTATTTAATGAGGGTTGGGAGAGCCACTGGAGAGGTTTGGTGGCTAAGGCTCTACCTAGGATAACCTATGATCATTACCCTATAGAAGTAGGACAAGAACCTCTTGGCAATGGACCTAGACCTTTCAGGTTTGAAAATATGTGGCTGACACACCCGGACTTCTTACCTACGGTTAAGGAATGGTGGAGTGAAGAATTGAGAGAAGTGAAATGGGAAGGGGTTAGATTCCACAAAAMACTAAAAAGGTTGAGAGGCAAATTAAAAGAATGGAATAAGGTTCATTTTGGAAGAGTGGAGGAGGTAAAAGCTAGATTATTGGTTCAGATTGAGGAGTTAGATGCAAAAGAATCCCAAGGGATGATGGATGAGCAAGACAGAGAAATGAGGAGGAAACTGAAAAAGGAGCTAGAGGAGACTTTGTTGAGGGAGGAGATTTCTTGGAGACAAAAATCCAGACATAAGTGGATCAAGGAAGGGGATGGGAATACCAAATTTTTTCATGATTTGGCTAATGGGAGAGGAAGGAAAAATTTGATACTAAAGCTTGAGGTTGAGGGTGTGGAGATAACCTCTCAAGAGGAGATTGCCAGTAGGATTGTGGATCACTTCAAATCCATCTATCAAAGACCATTAGAGAATCGGTTAATAGTAGGGGAGGAGAATTGGCCAACTTTGAACCAAACAGATAAGGGATGGTTGGAAAGAACGATCGAGGAAGAGGAAATTAAACAAGCTGTTTTTTCTATGGATAGGGCTAAATCACCGGGTCCTGATGGATTTACAATGGCATTTTATGGGGACTGTTGGGACATAGTCAAAGAAAACTTAATTGGAGTATTTAGAGAATTTGAGGATAAAAGTTTTGTGAGTCCTGGAATCAATGCCACCTTTATAGCCTTAACTCCCAAAAAGAATGATGCCAGACACCCCAAAGATTTTCGGCCAATTA